GTAAAATAAAAAAAACAACAAAATTTCTATCAGGTGTTTAAAATAAATCATCACTTTAAGTGTAAAATATTTCAAATATTCACATTCTGTTGATGCCTCTTTAAACCATATTTTCAATGGTTTTCTTTATTTTGTTGTTTTAACATTTTTCTTCATGCTGATAAAATGTCGATTTTAAATTAAGTTTAATTTTGAACATTTTATTTTTTGTATTTGGCACGTAAACACTTTGCAAACTTTATTGTTTTACAATAAATAAAAACTATAGAAAAAAGGAGAACAAGCTCAAATGTTTTGTTAAAGAGGCTTAAACGGAATATTTTGGGTCAACCAAAGGAAGCAGTAAAAGCTAAAGGAAATAAAACATTAGCTAAAAGCTAAAAGAAACAAAATTTCAAACAAAAGTCTAAACTAGCAAAATGTAAGAAGACAGCAGCTAAATGTAATAAAATTTTAGCTGAAAATGGAAAGTAGCAACACTCTAGTTGATTGCAGGATGAACGTAATGGTAGCTAGAAGCTAAACTTGGTCAAAAGTAAGCTAAAGCTAATAGCAGCAAAAACATTTAAAGTAGCAAAGGACTGATTAAAAGTTGCTAAACTGTTGCTAAAACCTAATAGGAGCAAAAATATCTCATTGCTAAACATGTAAAACTAGCTAGAGGCTAAATTGGCAAGATGATAGCTAAAGCTAAAGTAGCAAAATGCCAGCAAAACATTCAAAGAAGCAAAGGACTAGTTATTTATAGCCAGCCTGACAGTATAGCAAAAAGCTAGCTTACTGCTAAATTAGCAAAATGATAGCTAGACGCAAAGATTAGCAACATGCTAGCTAAAGCTAAAAGTAGTGAAGTGCTAACTAATAGCTGCAGAAAGCTGGTTTAAATTTGTTTGTTTTGTAAAATAAAAGCATGAGTCAGGAAGAGGAAATATCAGAATTTATGTGCAAAACCTTATTTGCTGTATATTTGAACGCTCGGCTGATGGTTTGACCTGCCCAGGTGAGGCTCATGAGAGGACAAAGACAGAGAAGACAACAGGAATGACGGACAGCAGCAGAGGGATGGACAGGGAGCTGAAGTGACCCGCTCCTGATGATCCTGGTGAAACCACTGCAAGAACCGACGTGTTCTGAATGTTGACAAATCCCGGCTGTTGTCCAGTGACCGTGCTGCTGATCCAGGACTCGTATCGTGAGACCCGGGCGTAGACTCCTGGTATATTGGGCCGGGCACAGCCGTCTCCAAAACTAACAACTCCAGCCTGGACCCACCTTGTTCCATTTTTACTGACCAACGGACCGCCGGAGTCCCCCTGAACACATGGGAAAGGATTTAATGACAGAACGCTGAGTCATGCTGGAAAAATATGGAGGTAAATTTGTGTTTTTATTATTCAATCAAACAAAAAGCATCTTCAAT